GGACGCCGCCGACTACACCGTGTGGAGGGACAACCTGGGACAGGTAGAAGACCCCTCGGTGCTCAGCGGCAATGGCAACGGCGGGACCGTCGACGCCACCGACTATCAGCTCTGGCGCGATCACTACGGCGTTTCGTCGAGTAGCTCAGATCCGCTCACACCCACGGCCGCGCCAGAACCGGCAACGACGGCGTTGGCATTGGTTGCTTGCTGTGCAGTGTGGGTGTCGACCGGCCGGAGGCCGATCGGCAACTAGTTCATTCGTTTCTCACCTTTGGAGTATGACTAATGCTACGCCTACCCACCCTGCGGCTGCTGGCCGTTGCTCTGTCAATCGCACTAGCCAGCGATCTCGCATTCGCACAACACGATCATGGTGATATCGAGTTCACCTACGAGTCGGGAAGGATCGCCATCGAGTTCGGCGACGAAGGGCGTGTCTTCGAGGGCGACTTCGGCGATTTCGCTGGCGGCCCGGACGAAACCGACGACCCTGGCTTCGGATCGGAAGTAGACGAGGGCCTGGGCGTCGACCCGGGCGACATCATCGGCTACAAGGTGCTCGGTCCCTTAAGCTACCACGACGGCTCGGCGTTTGCTGCGACTCCCGCTAGCATGGCGCTCGGCAACGCGGGCGGGGTCGACATAACGGTTGACGCGGGCACGCTGGCGGCCGGCGGGCTGATCGGGCAGGCCGACTCCGCAGGCGATGTCCACACCCATATCGACTTCGCCATCAATTCGACCGCGCCGACCGGCGCGTACGGCTTGCTGCTCTCCCTTACCGCTTTCGACAGCAGCATGCAGCCGAAGCCGGGCATCGCCGACTCCGAACCGTTCTACATTGTCTTCAACCGTGGTCTTGATGAGGTTGTGTTTGAGGAGGCGGTAGGCGCCTTTGCGGCAACCATCCCTGAGCCGGCCTCTCTGATGCTGGCCAGCATCGGCGCGGCGGTTGTCTGCGGTCGCCGTCGACGCTGACCGCTACGCTGCGTTCCTGCGTGCAATCCAATCGGTGACGCCGCCGCGGCTATCAAGCCGCGGCGGCGTTTTCTATGCGCTGTGCTGGAGCCAGCGTCGATGTGACTGGCGGGCCCCAATTCGCAAGAAAACACAATAACCACACTTGCAATGCAATTGCAGGGTAGTAGCATGTGCATGTCGGTCGGCGTTGCCGGCCGGATGGGTTGCGGCGCGGCCGCGACACTTCCCTACTGTCTGCCTTGTTTCTGGAGAACGCTGATGAAGATGCACTTTGGGTTTCGTGCGGTCGCCGCAGCTGTTGCAGCCGTGCTTGCCTGTGAGATGGCCCTCGCTCAGTACGATGGCAAGTACTACGTCGGAATCGACGGCCGCACGGATCCGTACACGGCGCCCGACTCCGACGGAGGCGGCGCGTACCCCGACAACCCCAACAACGGACGGCTGACGCTGCTGCTCAGTCATGGGAACCACTACCACGGCATCGGCTCGTACAGCTACTCGGGCCCGTCGGCGACGCCCACGCTCAATTCGACGAACGCCAACAACCGACTGCCGGAGGGCTACACGCTGCAGGCGCCGCTCGCGCTGAGTCCGGGAGTCGGCGTCTATGCCGGCCGCAACGTCCTGGCTAGCGATCCCGGTGTTGAGTACTCGGACCTCGAGGTCCAGAACGTGCACGTCCTAGCCAACACCGGCATCGCAGAGGTGGACGCGCTCTACCACAGCAGCAGCAACCGGTGGGACGGCCCCTTCGACGCCGCCGACATCCACCTGGAACTGGTTGGAACCAGCTCGCCGTGGCTCAACGTCGGGTCTCCCACAGACCCCAGCGCCTTGCCCGTGGGGGGGGACATCCATCTTGGAGAGGGGGACGAGATGTTCAGCTTCACGCCGGTCCTGTGGGTCGACGAGAGCGCGCCGGCGGGAGACTACTGGGCCGAGTTCCGGCTCACGGACCCGTCCGGGGCTTTCGGCGACTCGGGCAGCTTCTTCATCGACGTGCAACAGGTTCCCGAACCAACCACGGCGCTGTTGACCGGTCTTGGCCTCTTAGGGGCCGCGACTCTAACCCGGCGTAGCAGGTAGTCGGGGTTTGCCGGCTTGCTCCACGTGGCCAACGCCGCGTGGAGCAGGTCGACCCCGACACTGACTGATCTCAGACGCTGCAACCAAGCTGCTTACCACACGCGACTACCGGAGTCACGGAATGGACATTAATTCCCACACCGAGGTTTACAGGCCCAATTTCTGGGCGGACTGGACTGGGATGGCGGCTTCGATTGGCTGCGCCATCCACTGTGCTGCCACGCCCCTGGTAGTCGCCTCGCTGCCGAGCCTCGGACTCGCTTGGTTGGCGGACGATAGTTTTCACCGCTGCATGGCGGTTGTCTGCCTTGTGCTCGCGCTCGGCGCATTCGTTCCCGGCTGGCGGCGACACCGGTCACTCTTGCCCGCCGTGCTAGGCGGACTAGGAGTCGCATCGCTGCTCGTCGCTTCATTTGCCTTGGATGGCGGGTGCTGTCCCCGGCGAGGCACACCTTCCACAGGTTCCGCCCTCGCGGAGAGCGGCTGCGAGTCGTACTGCAGTGCGGACGCGTGCAGTATTCGGGATTCGCCTCCCACGAAGCCGGCCCTAGCCGGCCCTCTAATGACTCCTCTGGGCGGGCTGCTGCTGGTGTCTGCCCACCTGATTAATCATCGGAAATCGTGCTGCTGCGAGCATGGCGCTTGCCGCGGGGCGCGGCAGGCTACATGTGATTGATTCTCGACCGGCTCACCATTAAATGCTTGCTTTGGCTGCGGTGTTGCAAGACAATTGCAGTATCGGACCGCCATCGCAAGCATGTACCGCAAACTCTTTCAGACAACGGTTTGGATCACCCTCGCCCAGGTGCTGCTGGTCGGCGCCCTGGGGACGGGTCTGCACACGCTGCTCGGCTGCGAGCACGAGCGGCCGAGGGACCGGAGCGCGTCATCCGCTCCTGCTTGCGACGGGTGCCTCTTTTGCGCGCACCGGACGTTGGGGGCCGATCCCGCAACGAAGCAGCACGACAGCCCCACGTTCGAACCAAGAAGCGGTAGTGGCAGTTGCGACGCGTGCGTGGTTTGCGATCTGCTCGACCACTTCCACTCCGCGGTCCCCGCTGCGGCTTCGCAGCCTGACGCCTGCCCAGCTCCGCTAGCGGAGATCGGCTGGGCTGCGCAAGTGCACGGCGCCAGCACGGCGCGTCTGCCTCTATCTCGGGGCCCCCCAACCGCCTAGTCGCGTGCCGACTTCGGCGCGCGGCCGGACTGCCATTGTTCCGCACTTGCGCGCGACGTCACACGCGCGATCTCAGAACACAAGTGCGGGGGGAACCGCGACTCCGCTTGGGGCTTACGTATCATGACGCTGCTAGATGATTTTTGGGTCGCCTTTACGGCCGCACTCGTAGAGTCGGCGCCGCTAGTGGTGCTGGGGTTTGTCGCCGCTGGCTTGCTCCACGAGTTTGTGCCAGAACGCGTGCTAAGGCGGCGCGTCGGCGGCGGCGGGTTGCGTCCGATCCTTTGGGCGGTTGGGGTCGGGTTGCTCCTGCCGGTGTGCTCCTGCAGCACCATCCCGTTGGGGATCGGCCTCCGGCGTAGCGGGGCTTCGACCGGGGCAGCGCTGGCGTTCATGACCAGTTCTCCAGCCATCTCGCCGGTGACGGTGCTGCTTGGCTGGGGGCTGCTCGGACCGGTGCTGCTGGGCTGGTATTGCACGGTCGCCATCACGGGCGCAATGGCTATCGGCGTGGTTGGGAACCTGTGGCTGTGCTCGCCCGCCGAAACCGGCGCCGCCCCCAAGCCCTGCGGTTGCGGTTGCGGCGCGTCGCCCCCTTCTGGCGCCGGTCGGCTGCGGCGCGCGCTACGGTGGTCCTTTGGTGAACTGGGGGCGGAGGTAAGCAGCTCACTGCTGGTGGGCCTGGCGGTAGCCGCGGTGGTCATGGCGCTCCTCCCCAGAGGATGGGTTGAGGGATGGCTGGGGCACCCGAGCCTTCTCGCTCTCCTGGCGGCGATAGCCGTGTCTCTGCCGGCGTACACGTGCTCCGTGCCGGCCATGGCGATTGCGGCCGGGCTGATCGCCAAGGGCGTTGACCCAGGAGTCGCGGTGGCGTTCCTGGTCGCCGGCCCGGCGACGAACCTGGGCGAGTTGAACGCCATCCGCACCGCGATGGGCGCCCGAACGGCGCTGTTCTACGCCGGGATGCTCGTGGCAATCGCTCTAACCGCGGGGTCGGCGACCTCGTTGGTGACGGCGTCGCCATCGGCCGAGCTAGCGGGGGCCGCCGCTCACGGGCACGCCCATGCGCTGGATGCCGCGGTTCTGGGGGAGACAGCCGACGCGACGCACGGCGGGGCACCCTTGTGGCGGTGGATTCCGGCTATGGTTGTCGTGGGGCTCGCGCTGAGATCGATGTCTGCGTGGAGAGCAGGCTTCGGCCCCAGTTCGGTCTTCCGTAGATCGGCGAAACCTGTCGCGAACTTGTAGGATCAGCGCGAGTCGATGCTGACGCGATTCCAAGAAGCCAACTAGAATGGTCACCAAGCAGGCGCCCACGCTCCCGGACACGAAACGACAGATGCCCAGAAGCCCCTTTCGTCGCCGCGGCGGATTCACGCTCGTTGAGCTGCTGGTCGTGATCGCAATCATCGGCGTGCTATTCGGCTTGCTACTCCCCGCTGTTCAGTCCGCGCGGGAATCGGCGCGGCTGGTTAGCTGCAAGAACCACCTCCGGTCGATTGGGCTGGCGACGCTCCACCACCACGACGCGGTGCAGGCGTTCCCGCCCGCCCGGCTCCGCGCCCGCAACGACTGGGGCGACGCGGCCTGCGAGAGCACCCAGGCTTCGTGGCTGGCAAGGATCCTTCCGTACCTGGAAGAGGCCAACGCCTATTCCAAATGGGACTTGTACCGACCCTTTGAGGACCACGACCCAGCGGTCCGTGAGCACACCCCCGAGAGCTACATCTGCCCCACGCGGAGGAGCCTGGCCGAAGCGGTGCTCCCGTCTAGCGTTGTCGAGGCCGAGGTGACCTTCCCCTGCGGCTGCAGCACGACCGAGATGGTGACGCTCATCAGCGGCGCTATCGGCGACTACGGCGCCAACCACGGCGACTTCACCGGCGGCTCGTACGGAGACGTCTTTTCTTACTGGCGTGGGGGCAACGGCGGGGGAGTCATCATCTCCAGCCGGCCGAAGTGCGGCGCCGATGGCCCGATCGACTGGACCGACAGGATCCGGATGAAGGACTTGGTCGACGGCGCCAGCAAGACGGCCCTCGCAGGCGAGATGCACATCCCAGCGGATCGCCTCGCCCAGGTCCCGGAGAACGGCCCGATGTACAACGGCAAGGACCTGCCGGCCTTCGCACGCATCGGCGGCGAAGGCATCCCGCTCGCCCGCGGGCCAGAGGACCGGTCGGTGCCGGTGATCGGATTCGGCAGCTGGCACCCGGGGGTATGCCCGTTTGTGCTGGCCGACGGCTCGGTGAGGCTGGTGAACAACTTCGTGGAAGTCGATGTCCTGCAGTCCCTCTGCCGGCGGAACGACGAAGCTGAATTGGAACCGGTTTACTACCAGGGTGGCGATGTCCGTTAGCGTGGCGCGAATGTCCGGACAAACAGCGGCCACCGCCCGCCTGGGCGCTATGCTCATTCTTGCCCTGGGCGGCGTAGCCGGCTGCGGGAGCGGTCATCCGAGGACCTACCCTGTCAGCGGAGTCGCCCGGTTCTCCGACGGCAGCCCGGTGCGATCGGGCTACGTGGAGCTGATACCCGACGCCGGCGGGCCGTCGGCGCGCGGCAGGATCGACAGCCAAGGGCGGTTTGTTGTGGGCACCTATGCAGCGCAGGACGGCGCCGCGGCCGGCGAGTACTCGGTCCTGATCACCCAGCACGTCCAGCCGCTGAGCCCGGAACGGGCCCGCGCCCTGCGCCCCGAACACGCCGAGCACGCGGGCGCCCCCCACAGGGTCTCGCTGCGGTACGCAAGCCGCACCTCGACCGACCTTCGCTGCACCGTGAAGGAGTCGGAAAACGAGCTGACTCTGACGGTGGACGCCTATGAGGCCGCCCTTAGTCAGGGTAAGCCGGACTCCCTGTAGTAGCGTGTATTTATTGCAAAGGTGACCGCCGCGCCGACGGCATTAAAGGCGGGCGCTGCGCCCGGGGTTTTGTCCAAAACGTTTTGTCCAAAAACACACGCGGAGCGGACAAAACTCGGGACACAGCTCCGCCCTTATCTATTGCTTAAGCCGCTCTTGAGAAACGGCTTGCGGCGATTCCTGCGGGCTGCGCCGGCGGGGGTTTTGTCCGTTTGGGCCGTCGCAGCGGACACAACCCGGACCGCCGTCAGACGCTCCTCGAGCCGACACCGCGTTCCGGAACAGTCGACACGGCGCCCCCGGCAACCGTTCATTGGACCGCGCTGGGTGGCCGGTTACTACTTAAAACCGCTGCGTAATGCGGGGCGTGTGCGGGACGAGTCGCAGCGGCCTCTGTGGGGCGCCTGCGGAAGCGCCACGAAGCGAATCCTCTCAGAAACTCCCGCTACGCGCCTCAGATTTTACGCTCATGCAACTGGCTTTGAATCCAGTTGCGCGTGGAAGCTGCGGGCAGCGTCGGGATTCACTTCGCACTAACAGCAAGCCGGGATTGGCGCCTGCTCGGTGCCCGCGGAGTGCTGCAGCTGCCCGCAAGGCTGCGAGCTTCAGGTGGGCGCGGCACGCGCTTCGCACTCCTGCATAGCCAGTTGTCCTGCTCGTCTAACCCCTCCAAGAGTTCCCCCCATGGATGCACCGTCAACTGTCCTTGCGCGCGTCAGGCGCGTGCGGGGCCGCCTGGCGACTACCGCGGCCCAACTTGAGTCAGGCCCCTCAGAGAAACTCGATACCCTCGCGAGCATTGAAGCACGGCTCGACCAGGTCGTGGCAGATGTCGCGTTGATTAACCGCTGCGGTCGTAGGAATCGGCAACGAGGTCAGACCGCTTGAGCAGCGCGGTGACGCCGCCGTGGCGTCGAGGCAAAGGACCAGCCGACATTGTGATGTGAAGTGATTCGGATTAGCGGTTGTGCAGTGATTTCGACCGTGAGCGTGCTGCGCCTCTGATGAGGTATTTGGGCCTAGGTCATCGCCTTAAACTCCCAATACTGCTCCCGATCCTCTGGTCCTGGCTCGGGTAACGCAAAGACATCCGTATCTTCGGGGGCGACGAACTGCTTGTAGCAATCGTACTCAATGGTCCCCGTTTCACCAGGTAGGATGGAAGCCGTTGGAATGTAGCCACCGCCGTGCAGCGGGCCGGTCTTGGGCGGGCGAAGTTTCCCGCGAATGCCCACCGACACGTAAGGCAAGACCATCGTCGATCCGTTGTGTATTTCGAAGCGCAGGTCTTCGTTAGGCGCGATGCCCACTATCCACCAACGGAAGAGTTTACGGGCTTCGGTGATCGCGAGTTCGCGTTCGGTAAACGGCGGCGGACCTTCCTCAAGGGCCCGCCATTGCTTCTTAGTGAACCGCTTGCGAGCGGCGGCACACTTAGCTTGCAGCCATTCCTCGAAGCCATTCGCCGTTTGCCGAAGTCCGCCATAATACCATTCATAAACAGGTGATTCACTTCCAGTGACAAGACGCGATTCCTTAAAGTAAACGACTGAGGTCCACGTTCGACCGATTTGAATCAACCCTTCGCCCTCCGCGCTTTCCGCTTCTCTGGGCCCCGCAAAAACTGTTAGATAGTAGTTTGAATTGTAGCGATACAATTCGGCATTGCCGTATCGGATCACGAACTCCTTGTATGCAGGTGGAAGTGGGAAATCGCTGGACTCCACTGCCTGCCGCAACTTTGGAGACGCAGGGCCATCCACAAGATAGAACTTGTTCGTCTTGACTGATGCCATTTCCGCTTCAAGCCATTCGAACATCGTAGCTCAAGGAAGGTGTCAGGAACTAAGTCGACGGTTGGTGCCGGCGGCGCAATCCGCACACCCCGTTGCACACGGTCGCCGTCCGTGTCGGCGTCGTTGGCACAGCAACGGTCCACCTACAGCCTAGCGTCGCCGCGCCCTACCGCACCGGTTTGGCTTCGGGGTGCGTGTACAGGATCTCCAGCAGCTCTTTGACCACCTCGGGGCGGTGGGTAGCCAGGTTCTCGGTCTCGAGGGGGTCCTGCTGGTAGTCGTACAGCTCCAGCTCGGCCGTGTCGGGGTCGGCGCCGGGGCGTTTCCACTCGACCAGGCGGTAGCGGTCGGTGCGGATGTTCCGCCCCACGCGGTTGCGGCCCCGTTCGTACACCGCGTACGCGTGGTCGCGGACGCGGGCGGTCGGGTCGCGAAGCACGGGCGTAAGGTCGACGCCGTCGATCGGCTGCGGTCCGGTCGGGGTGGGCAGGCCGGCCAGCGCGGCGAGCGTCGGGTAGAGGTCGACCGTTTCGGCGAGCTGTTCGGTGGCGGTCGCCGGCCGCGTGACGCCGGGCGCGACGACCAGCAGCGGGATCCGGTTGGCCTGCTCGTAGTTGGTGTGCTTGGTCCAGTAGCCGTGGTCACCCAGGTGCCAGCCGTGGTCGCCCCACAGGACGATGAGCGTGTCGTCCCGCAGGCCGAGAGCGTCGAGCTCGTCGAGCACCTTGCCGATCTGAGCGTCGATGTAGCTGACCGACGCGTAGTAGCCGTGCATCATCTGGCGGGTGAGGTCGTCGTTCAGGCGGCCGTTGGCCGGCAGCGGCGCGTAGTTGGCGACCTCAATGCCGCCCTTGCCGGCGAAGCGGGGCGCGCCGGCCGGGTCGGCGCGGAACTCGGGCATGGCGAACTGCGCGGGGTCGTACAGGTCCCAGTACTTCTTGGGCGGCGTGAATGGCAGGTGGGGCTTCACGAAGCCGAGCGCCAGAAATAAGGGCTGCTGGCGGTCCTTGGCGGCGCGCAGCCGCTCGACGCCCGCCTGGGCGATGCGGCCATCGGCGTAGGCGTCGTCGTCGGCGTCGACAACCTCCCAGGCGGCGCCGCGGGGCAGCTGGCCGATGCTGCCCAGCCGCTTGTTCTCGAAGAAGGCCTCCTCGCGGGTCAGCTCGCCGCCGGTGCTGTCGGGGTCGAGGTACTCCACCACCGGCTCGATCTGCGTGGGCACGCTCCAGGACGCCTGGTCGTCGTGGTTGCCGTGGCCGGTGTGCAGGATCTTGCCAACCGCCTCGGCCCGGTAGCCGTGCTGCTTGAAGAACTGCGGCAGCGTAACGGCATTGGGGACGGCCGCGCGGAAGTTGACGCTCAGGTTGTAGATGCCCAGCGACGTGCACCGCGATCCGGTCATCAACGCGTTACGCGACGGCGCGCAGACCGCTTGGTTCGTGTACGCCTTGTCGAACCGCAGGCCGCGGTCCGCCAGCCGGTCGATGTTGGGCGACTTGGCGAGCGTGTCGCCGTAGCAGCCGAGCGTCGGCTTGAGGTCGTCGACGCAGATCAGCAGCACGTTGGGCGCCGCGGCGGCGGGGGCCGCTACGAAGGTCAGCAGCAGGACGAACGCGACCAGGGCGGGAGTGAATCGGAGGGCAGGCATTGATCGAAAAGCGGTGGGGCTCATGGCGGCTCGCGGGAGGAGGGTCGGCGTAAGCCTGCAGGATAACCCAAACTGGCGGCCGAGTCGCCCGGCGGCGGGTCAGCCCTTCTTCCCGCGGCCCTGCGGCGCCCGCATGGTGCCGGGGAAGTGCGCCTCGCCCCAGCGGGCGACGCTGAGCACCAGCTTGCGGAGGTCCTCGCCCTGGGCGGTCAGGGAGTAGAGCGACCGCCGGCCGTCGGCCGGGTCGGGCTCGCGCCGCAGGTAGCCTGCCTCGGTGAGCATCTTCAGGCGGTCGGAGAGGATGTTCGACGCGATCCCCTCGGGCGAGCCGAGGAACTCGTCGAACCGCTGCTTGCCGAGCACCAGGTCCCGCACGACCAGCAGCGTCCACTTGTCGCCCAGCAGGTCGAGCACGCAGGAGATGGGGCAGTCGGAGCGGCGGGGCGAGAGCGGCGGCATAATATCACTTGCGTTTCGCAAGTAAGATGGCTAGGTTGTGTTTACTTGTTGTTTGCAAGTTAATTCTAACCCACGGGAGCGTTGCAGATGAGTCAATCTTACACGCAGGCGGACGCCGGGCCGATGAGCGGGTGGAGCGGGTTCCGGTTCCAGTTTGGCGACAACCCGCCGGCGCCCAAGCGGTTCCTGAAGGGCGAGCTCGGACTGACCGGCATGGAGGTGTCGCTCAACTGCATGCCGGTCGGCGCCGGCATGCCCTTCATGCACAGGCACCAAAAGAACGAGGAGGTCTACCTGTTCCTCACCGGCGAGGGCGAGTTCCAGGCCGGCGACCATGTGCTGCCGATCACGCCGGGCGCCTGCTTCCGCTGCTCGCCGGAGCTGCCGCGGGCGTGGCGGAACACGGGCCCGACGCCGATGGAGTTTGTGGTGATCCAGGCCGAGGCGGGCGGGTACTCCGGCCAGGGCCAGATCGCCGACGGCGAGGTGGTCGCCGAGCCGCCCGCCTGGAAGCAGGCCGCCGCTACGCCGTGATACCCTTGGTGAGCGTCATGAACGCGGTTTCCAGGTCGATCTCCTTCTCCGCGAGGAGCTGCACGCGGTAGCCTTCGGCGACCAGCTTGGCCGACAGCTCGGCCGGGTCGCGGGCGCCCTCCTGCAGCGTGGCGTGCAGTTCCTCGCCGATCGGCTCGACCGACTCGACGATCGGCAGCGAGCGGAGCGACTCGGCCGCCTGGTCTTGGTTGTCGGCCACGCGGACGCGGATCACCAGCTGCTTGCGGAGCAGGCTGAGCAGGTTGTCGACGGTGTCGTTGTAGACCAGCTCGCCCCGCTCGATGATGCCGACCTTGTTGCAGATGTCGGCCAGCTCCGGCAGGATGTGGCTGCTGACCATGATCGTCTTGCCGAGGCCGCGGAGCCGCTTGAGCAGGTTGCGCATCTCGATGCGGGCGCGGGGGTCCAGGCCGCTGGCGGGCTCGTCCAGCAGCAGCACCTCCGGGTCGTGCAGCAGCACGCGCGCCAGTCCCAGCCGCTGGGTCATGCCGCGCGAGAGGCTGGTGGCGAGCGCCTCGCGTTTGAACTCCAGGTCGACCAGGCCGAGCACCTCGTCGCACTTCTTGCGGCGCTCTTCGCCGTTGATGCGGTACGCGGCGGCGAAGAACTCGAGGTACTCGATGACCTTCATGTCGTCGTACACGCCGAAGAAGTCGGGCATGTAGCCGATGGTGCGGCGGATCTCCTTCGGCTTGGTATAGATGGAGTGCCCGGCGACGTACGCCTCGCCCCAGGTGGGTGTGAGCAGGGTCGCCAGGATCCGCATGGTGGTGGTCTTGCCGGCGCCGTTGGGGCCGATGAAGCCGAACACGTCGCCGCGGCAGAGGTTGATGTTGATCTCGCGGATCGCGAACAGCTCACCGTACTTCTTGGTGAGGCCGCGGGTCTCGATCATGGTCTGGCCGGCGTCGCGGTCGGGCTGGTCGTGGTCGCTCATGGCAGTCACTGCGGTGGATCGGTGAGGGGCGGGCCGAGGAAGCGGTAGAACGCTCCCTGGCGCTCGCTGCGTGTTTCGAGTGGTTCGCCGTCCCGCTGGATCTGGCACTGCGGGCCGGCGGCCCGCGCGACGACAATCGGCCGGCCGGCGGCCAGCGCGTGGCTGAGGTCGGCGCCGGGCTGGGTGGGCGCGGGCAGCGGCGAGAACTCCTCGCCGCCGAGCGCCTCGTAGAACATGAGCAGGTACGCGATGGCCGGCAGGCTGAGCTGGTCGGAGCTGAGCCGCCGCTCGCCCTGCTGGTCGCCGCCGAAGTCCTTGAGCACCAGCGTGCGGAGCCGCGCGTGCGACAGGCCGGCGTCCACCGCGGCGACCTCGCCCGGCGCGAGGTCGGGCAGCCGCCAGGCCCAGTTGCTGGCGATGAGCTTGACGTCGGTCAGCGTGAGGTCGGTGTTGTTGGTCAGCATCCCCTCGACCAGCCCGGTGCCGGTGGGCGAGAGGTCGAACGCGACAGCGGGCTGTTCCTCCACAAGCCAGCGGGCGGCGAGCGGCTTGCTGGCGCGGCGGTTGATCGGCACGCCGCTCAGGCCGGCCAGCGTGGGCTGGGTCTCGTAGCGGGTGTCGCCCGCCAGCAGCGAGTCGGCGGAGGTCTGCATGCCGCCCAGGCCACGGCCGGGCAGGCCGAACCAGCTGAGGTAGCCGCGGCCGCCCTGCCCCGCCCCGGGCGTGACGCAGGCCAGGTCGTACAACCGTGCGTCGGGGCTGAACAGCTGGGCCCAGCAGGCGCCGCGCTGCAGGCCGGTCTGGCTGTCGACGTCGACTAGCTCGAGCTGGTTGATGCGGACCTCCTCGCCGGTGGAGGCTTCGCCCCACCAGGCCGCGCCGCCGGCGACGCCCACCGCCACCAGCGGGAACACGATCCACGCGGTGGTCATCCGCCCGGTGACGTTCTTGCCCAGGTAGTACGCGCCCGGACCTAAGAGCAGCAGGTACGCGCCGACCGCCGCCACGAGCATCAAAATCGAGACCGTCTGCACCCCAGCGAAACTAGCGCCAAGGCCCACGTGCACCGCGCCGATCAGGTCTGCGTAGGCGGTGGCGACCAGCTGGCCGCCGCCTGCAGCGCCTTCTTCCGCTGGGTCGTCGGTCTGCAGCAGCAGCGTGCGGAGCCGGCCGGCGTCCTTCCAGTCGACCAGCGGCTTGGCGTTCAGGTCGAAGGCCGTGTAGGTCACCGACCCGAACCCGTGCAGGCTGCGGACCACCAGCGGCATCTCGCTGGCGCGGCCGCCGGCGTACAGCTCGACCACGCCCGGCACCCCACCCAGCCGCCCGACCGCGAGGCCGCCGAACGGCGCGTCGATCGCTTCGTCCGAGCCGACGTAGTCCTCGATCACACCCGTGTTGGCGAGCGCGACCGTCTCGACGAACTCGCCCGGGGCGAGCATCCGCAGCGGGCCGGCGGGACCGACGAGCGCCTCGGCGTGCTGCCCGCCGCCGATCAGCACCCGACCGCCGGAGCGGACCCAGGTCTGGATGGCGGCGGAACGTACGGGGGTGAGTTCGGAGAGTTGTTCGGCGGTGAGCCCAGAGAACACCAGCACGTCGACGCCCTCGTACGCGAGCCAGTCGGTCGGCAGGTCGGCCAGCGGGACCTGCCGGCCGGCTTCGACGATCAGCGGCGTGGAGGCATCCAGGCCGCGGACGGGAGAGCGGAGGTCCTGGCCGCTCCGCCACTGGTCGACAACCTGGTCGCCATCGAGCAGCCGCACACGGAGGGTCGCGTCGCGGCGGCCGACCCGCGTGAGCGTGTGGGTCCGACCGGAGGCGTCGGGCGCCGGTTCGCTGGCGACCACCGCCGGCGCGCCCTGCCCGTCGGGGGCGACGACTTCCAACCTGGGCTTGGCGAGCGCCTCGAGCCCTTCAATCTCAACCGACACCGGCGCCCAGGTCCCCAGCTTGTACTGGCCGGCGAAGCCGATCGACACGCTGGCGATCTTGGCCGGCTCGGCCGCACCTGCCGGCAGCGCGCACGCCGCGGCGAGCAGCAGCGGCAACGCGGTGAATTGGAAGAGCCGGGGCGGCATAGGCGTCAGCGTGGTGCGGGGAATCACTTATTGTGTACTACGCACCGGGGGGCGCCAAGTTCCAGCGGCGTCAGGGTTTCTCGCCCTCGCAGCAACAAACCAACGCCCCGCAGCCGGGGCAGCCCTCGCCGTACTTCTCGCGGACCGCCTGCGTGAGGTCGACGTCTACGACGTTCGCGATGGTGGTGAGCCAGGCGAGCACGTCGGCGAACTCGCCCCGCTGCTCCTCCGGCGTGCCCTCGCGGAGCGCAGCGGCCAGCTCTCCTACCTCCTCCATCAGCCACATGAAGGTGGCGTCCACGCCCCGTTCGCGGTCCTTCTCGAGGTACATGTCGCGGATCAGCTGTTGGAAGTCGGAGATCGGGAGCGGGTTCGCCATGGCGCGGTGGTGTCGTTGTTAGGGGTTAGCCGCCGGTTTGCTTGCGGAGGATCTTGTCGCCCCACTTCGGGCTGAGCTGCGTGAGCGCCGCGAGGATCCGCGCCTTGCCGGGGATCACGAGCTCCGGCTTGCGGCCCTCGCAGGCGGAGAGGATCTTCCGCGAGAGCGCGTCGGGCGCGATCGCGCGGACGTTGGCGCCGCCGCCCGGGCGGTTGGCTTCTTCGGGCAGGCCCTCGGTCTGTTGCTGGTAGCGTTGGCCGCCGTCGGTGCGGGCGATGGGGCCGGGGCAGACCAGCAGCACGTGCAGGCCCTCGGGGCCGCGCTCGAGCCGCACCTGCTGCGCCAACGCGGCGACCGCGTGCTTGCTGGCGGGGTACGCGCCAAGGTACCGCGGCGCAAACTTGCTGGCGAGCGACCCGATCAAGACTAGGTGGCCCTCGGCCGCCTCCAGCAGCGGTCCGGCCGCGTGCGTCATGTCGACGGCGGCCAGGAAGTTGACGGCCATCAGTTCTTCGAACCGGGCCCGCGGCGTGGTGACGACGTCGCCCCGCATCGACTCGCCGGCGCAGCAGCACGCGATGTCGAGCCCGCCGAAGCGTTCGGCCATCGCGTCGACCGCGCGGCGGGTTTCCCCCGGTTGGGCCACGTCGGCGGCGATGGTGAGCACTTCGCCGCCGAGGCCGCGCAGCCCGTCGGCCGCTTTCTCCAGCCGGTCGAGGCCGCGGCCGCAGATGGCCACCCGCGCGCCCTCGCTGACCAGCGTGCGGGCCAGCGCGAGGCCAAGGCCGGCTGACCCACCTGTCACGAGGGCCGTCTTGTCTGTCCAGTAGCTCACCAGGGGCGCATCCTGCCGCAGGGGGGAATCCGCCGCCCATCTTAACCGGTGGGGCACGGGGTGAGCTACGGTTGAGAGTCCCCGGCCGCAGGGAAAAAGCGCGCCGATCCCGAAACAACCGCGGCCTCATGACTCCACCATTCCCAGACGCCTGCTCCTGGCCCACAATGGGGCTTCACACCCCGCCGCCCGCGTCCGGCGCGCCAGGCACGAAGCCTTACCCTACTAGCACCGCCATGCCGCTCACCGAAGACCTCCGCCACCTCGCCCGCACCAAGATCGTCGCGACGGTCGGCCCCAGCTCGCAGGACCACGAGATGCTGTCCTCGATGGTCCAGGCGGGCGCCGACGTGTTCCGGCTGAACATGGCGCACGGCGGGCCGGACGTTCAGCAGCAGAACGTGGACACGATCCGCCGGGTCAGCGAGGAGCTCGACACGCCGATCGGCATCCTGGTCGACCTGGCGGGGCCCAAGTTCCGGCTGGGCGAGATCGACAACGACCGCATCTTCTGCGAGACCGACGCCGAGTTCTGGTTTGTCGAGGGCTCGTCCGGGGCCCCCAACGAGTTCACCTGCTCGTACGCGCCGCTGGTGCGTGAGCTCTCGGTTGGCGACCAGGTGATGCTGGCCGACGGCACCGTCAGCATGGTGGTGATCGGCAAGGAGAAGGGGCGGGCCCAGATGCGGGTCGTGCAGCGGGGCGTGATCCGCAGCCGGCAGGGCATCAACCTGCCCGGCGTCAAGCTGAGCGCCCCGGCCATCAGCGTGGTGGACCACCAGCACGCCATCTGGGCCGCCGAGGCGGGCGTCGACTTCGTCAGCCTCAGTTTCGTGCGGGCGCCGGACGAGGTCCGCGCGCTCCGCGACATCCTCCGCTCGAACAACTCCGAGGCCTACGTCATCTCGAAGATCGAGAAACGCGAGGCGATCGACCGCATCGAGGAGGTCGTGGCCGCCAGCGACGCGGTGATGGTGGCCCGCGGCGACCTGGGCGTCGAGATCGACGTCGCGGAGATGCCGGTCCAGCAGAAGCGGATCATCAACACGTGCCACCGCTACCAGAAGCCGGTGATCATCGCCACGCAGATGCTCGACAGCATGCACGAGTCGCTCCGCCCCAAGCGGGCCGAGGTGACCGACGTCGCGAACGCGGTGCTGGACGGCGCCGACGCCTGCATGCTGTCCGGCGAGACCGCCATCGGGCAGTACCCGGTGGAAACGGTCGCCATGATGAACCGCATCTGCCTGGCCACCGAGGCGAGCATCGCCGACCAGCCCCCGCGGCAGAACGACGGATCGGTTTCGCCCGTGCTCCACGACATCACCCGCGCGGTAGTGCGGGGGGCGGGCGCGATGGCCCACTCGCTGCGGGCCAAGCTGGTGGTCGTGGCGAGCTACTCGGGCAAGACGGCGCTGGCGTTGTCGCAGCAGCGGCACTCCACGCCGACCATCGGCGTGAGCCAGAACGAGACCACCCTGCGGCGGATGTGCCTGTACTGGGGCGTGACGCCGCTCCGCGAGGCGCCGGCCGAGGATATGCAGGAGCTGATCCGGCACGCGGACACCTGGGCCTGCCGGGTGGGCTTCGCCGCCAAGGGGGACCGCATCGTGATCCTGGGCGGCAGTCATCTCGCCGCCGGGCCTGGCGGCAACCCGAAGGGCGTGCACGACGTGGTCGTGGTGCACGAGGTGGAGGGCGGCAGCTAACGCTCCGCCCCCGTGCCCAGTAGGCGGCCCGTTAGCCGGGCGCGAGGCCGCGGCCCAACGCCTGCAGCAGGCGGCGCTGCATCAGCTCCGCCATCTCGCGGCGGCGCAGTTTCTCCTGCGTGCTCCAGTGACGGCGGATCGCCCGCCGCGTAACCTGCAGGCCAGCGCCCGCGGTTCGCAGGGGCCCGGCCTTGCTGGGGCCCGATTGGGTCTTCTTGGATACACTCGGCATGTCGGCTCCTCCTGGTCCGTGGGCGCCATTGGGGTAGTCCCAACCGCCGCCGCTGCCTGCCCCGTTGGTAGACCTTCTCTGCTGCACACGGTGCGACCGCTTTGCGTCTGCACCCATCCGCAGCCCCGCGCCGGCGTCACCCCTCAGGGGGGCCGGCAACCGAGAACCAACGCTCAACTCCTTTTTCAGCTTGGGAGCCAGCGGCTCCCGCTTCGCTAGTGCTCTTCTGTTACGCCGCCCGGTCGGTTTCGGTTCGGGCGGGCCGCGTGATCTGACCCCAGGAGCGACTAGCTAGGTATCCAGTGCCAGTGTAATCCGGCGGCGCCGCGGGTGCGTGGTCCGCCGCGGATTTGTCGAAATACCTTGGGCGATGTCGTCCCGCCGGTCGCTGTGTGCGTGACCTCGCGACAAGTGCTACCATGGGTTCGCGGGGAGAGCGCCAAATCATTGCAGGGAATCTCGTTTTGCCGATCAATCGTTCGCCGCTTCGGCGTTGTGTAGGACTGCTCGCCTGGTTTGTCCTCGGGTTAGTCGTTGCTCACCCAGCCGCCGCCGCTGACTCCGACTGGGCGCCGCGCCCGGTCGACCGCGCCGGGCTGCCGAACGCCTACTGGATAACCGACAAGGTAATCTCGGGCGCGTCGCCGCTGGGCGATGAGGGCTTCGAGTCGTTGGAGCGGCTGGGCGTGAAGACCGTGATCAGCGTTGACGGCGCCAAGCCGGACCTTGCGACTGCGCGGGCCCACGGGCTGCGCTACGTCCACCTCCCGCACGGCTACGATGGGGTTCCCGCGGTGCGGTCCAAGGAACTCGCCAAAGCGGTGCGGGACCTGCCCGGGCCGATCTACATCCACTGCCACCACGGCAAGCACCGCAGCCCGGCGGCGGCGACCGTGGCCTGCGTCGGCGCCGGGACCCTGCCGGCCGAGCACGCGTTGGTCGTCCTCAAGACGGCCGGCACCAGCGCCTCGTACCGCGGTCTGTACGCGTCGGCCGAACGAGCCGAGACCCTCACCAACGCGGTGCTGGACGCGGTGGCCGCGAAGTTCCCAGAGACCGTTGAGCCGCCCAGGATGGTCAAGGCGATGACCGACCTGGAGCACTCGCTCGAACACCTCAGGGCGATCGAGCAGGCCGGATGGGCCACCCCCGCCGACCACCCGGACCTGGCGCCCGACCATGAGGCGTTGCTGCTGCGGGAGCACTACACCGAGATGAAGCGGCTGGAAGAAACGCGGCGGCAGCCCGCCGGTTTCCAGGAGCTGCTGCAGCAGGGCGAGGACGCCGCGATGCAGCTCGAGCGGGCCTTGTCCGACGCCTGCACGGCCGAGCGACGCGAGGCGGCGGCCCGGGCGTTCGCGGCGGTGCAGAAGAACTGCAAGCAGTGCCACACCGAGCACCGCGACCGGCCAATGGAGCAATCAGCCGGGACGTTGGAGCCAGCAGCCCCCGGGACCGTAGACCCGGCGGCCGCGGGCCGCTAGTACACGTCGCGGACGTAGCGGTGCGTCTTGCGGAGGTTCGTGACGTACTTCTTAGCGTCCTCGGGGCTCATGCCGCCGTGCTCGGCGACAATCTCGTGCAGCGCCCGGTCGACGTCGCCGGCCATCCGCTTGGCGTCGCCGCATACGAAGAACCAAGCGCCCTCTTCGAGCCAGTTGTAGAGCTCGGCGCCCTCTTCCTTCATCCGGTTCTGGACGTAGATCTTCTCTTCCTGGTCGCGGCTGAAGGCGGTGCTGAGCTTGGTCAGCAGGCCCTGCTCCTGCATCTCGGTCAGCTCTTCGCGGTACAGGAAGTCGGTCGCCTCGTGCTGGTCGCCGAAGAACAGCCAGTTCTTGCCGCGGGCCTTCAGCGCCTTGCGTTCCTGCAGGAACGCCCGGAACGGCGCGATGCCGGTGCCGGGCCCGACCATGATCATCGGGGCGTTGGAGTTGCTGGGCAGCGTGAAGTCGGCCGACGGCTGCACGAACACGCGGACGGTGTCGCCCACGTCGATGCGGTCGGTGAACATGGTGGAGGCCACGCCCTTCCGCTCGCGGCCGGCCAGCATCGTGGTGACCTTTGCGATCGTCAGGTGGACGCTGTCCGGGTGGGCCCGCAGCGAGCTGGCGATCGAGTAGAGCCGCGGCGCCAGCGAGCCGAGCGTGAGGGAGAACGCGCCCTTGGAGATCCGCGCCGAGGGGGCCAGGCGGAGCACGTCGAGCACGTCCATGTCGTCGAGCTCGTCGCCGTCGCCGTCGACCAGGTCCCGCAGTCGCTGCTTCTCGTCGAAGTCGGAGGTGCTGGCCGCGATCAACCGGACCAGGTCCTCGCCGACGTGCTTCAGGTTGCTCTTGACGGTGAGCGCCTCGCGGAGCGGCGCCTCGACGCCGTCGCACGCGGTTACGTGCTCGGTGCCGTGGGCCTTGAGGGCGAACAGGATCTCGTCCACCAGGTCGGGGCAGTTGGTTGGGAACACGCCGAGCGAGTCGCCCACGCGGAACGAGATGTCGCTGCCGGCCAGGTCAAGCTCGACGTGGCAGGTGTGCTTGGCCGAGCCCTCGCCGTTGAGGTTGTACAGGGTGTTGACGCGGGCGCGGTACGGCTTGGCCCGGCTGTAGGGGATCGGCCCGTCGGCAACCTGCACCTGCTGCGGCTTATTGTCGGCGGGGGCGGCCGCGGCGGGCTTGATGCCGCCGGCGTCCTTGATCACCTTCTTGAGCATCTTGGCGGTCTCTTTGCCGCCGGGGGTGCAGAGCGCGGTGCTCTTCTCCTGGCCGCTGGCGATCGCCATCGCGTAGGTGTCGCACATGTAGCCGCAGGCGCCGCAGTCGAGCTGCGCCATGGCGGCCATCAGGTTCTTGGTCACGCCCTGCCCTTCGGCCAGCTTCATCCGCTCCTCGATGTCGAGGTTCGGGTCGTGCCAGGCGTAGTCGCCGTCGTCGAGGGTCTCGACGGCGGCGGGCGCCGGCTCGGCCGGGGCGGGCGCCGGCTTGGCGGCCGACTTCTTCGGCGGCGCGCCGTTGGACGCGCTGGCGCCGTTGGCGGGGGCCTCCTTGAGGCCCGAGAGGTCCGACGGCAGGCGGCCGCCCGACTGCTCGGCGACGCCGGCCCAGGCGGCCAGGAAGCCGTTCAGCCAGGCCCGCTGCTCGGGGCTAAAGGGGGCGGATTCGGGGATCGAGGGGATCGGCATGGGTGCGGCGGGGCCGGTGGCGGCGCCCGGTAGTTCGTCTTCAACGCCCAGCATGGTCGGCACTTTTCAGTCGGCGGTCAAGCGACGTGCAATTAACGGTGAAACATAGCACGCCGGACCGCTTTCTGCAGCCGCAAAGCGCACGGCCGAGGGCTTTCTGCGCTATTTGACGCCGGCAATTCGTGGGCGGCGGCACGCGGTTGGTCCTAGTTATGTTAGGCGTTTTCCGGAGAGCCGGCTATCGCCCTCCCAACCGGCGCAACCGGACCCGCTCGCGGTTTGCTTGCGGATCATCGGGTGGGCTATACTCACCGCCGGCGCCGCGGACCCAATTGCGGCCGCCCTCGCCTTCCCCCGCCCCCCAAGACCCACCGCTATGGCAATCGCTTCCCAGACCCGCGACGGCATCCTGATCATCCAGGTCAAAGACCCGCGGCTCGTCGACGAGGTGGTGCTCGAGCAATTGGAGAAGGACGTCCTGGGGCTGATCGATCAGTCTGAGGAGGAGCGGGTGATCATCGACTTCCAGCCCGTGCAGTTCATGTCGTCGTCGATGCTCGGCAAGCTGGTCAAGATCCATAAGAAGTGTAAGGAATACAAGACCAAGCTGAAGCTGAGCTCGATGTCCTCGGAGATCCGCGAGGTCTTCAAGATCACGAAGCTCGACAAGCTGTTCGACTTCGAGAAGGACATGGAGTCCGCCCGCAAGGCGTTCCTCAAGCGGGGGCTGTTCGGCTAGTCGACCGCCGCGGGGCGGGCGATCTTGTGGACGGGGGCCGGCCGGCCGTATAGGAAGCCCTGCGCGCACGCGAAGCCCAGCTGGGCGCAGGCGTCGTGGTCGGCCTGGGTCTCCACGCCCTCGGCCAAGGGGATCACCCCCAGCTCGAGCGTCATCTGGACCAGCCGTGCGACCATGTTCTGCCTCTCCGGGGGCGCGTCTCCGATGCCGCGGACCAGCGAGATGTCGAACTTCAGGTAGTCGGGCGGGACATCCGCCATCTCGACCAGCCGCGCCTGCCCGGCGCCGAAGTCGTCGTAGGCCAGGCCGATGCAGAGCTCGCCCAGCACGTCGCGCACCTGGCGCATGACCTCGGCGTTGGTGGCGGTCGCCTCGTGGATCTCGAGGACCATCGGACGGTGCGGGGCGATCTCCCGCGCCTCGCGGAGCGACAGCTCCAGCACCCCGACGTCTTCCAGTTCGCTCGGATGGGTGTTGACGAACAGCAGGTGCGCGCCCGGCAGGGGCAGCCCGCCGCTGACGCCCTCGTCTCGCAGGATGCGGCTCAGCTCGGCCTCGAGGTTGAGCACCGCCGCGGCCGAGAACATGGTCTTGGGGTCCGACAGGCCAAACAGCTGGCTGCGGGCCAGCACCTCGTACGCAAACACCTCGCCCTGCATCGTGACGATCGGCTGGTAGTGCGGCGTCACGGCTCGCTCCGCCATCAGCTTGTCGAACTGGATCAACGCGAGCGCGCAGTCCGACGAGTCGTTGTGCAGCGTCTGGCACTGGGTGGCCGGCCGGTCGACCCCCACCCGCAGCACCACCTGCGCGAACTGCAGCAGGTCGCCGGGGTTGAGCTGGGTGGAGTCATGAAC